CCCCCTCCCCCCCTCGCCCCCACCCCCACCCCCACCACCCAAAAAATATTGTTTTTAAAAAATATTTTCAATTTCATAAATTATTTTCTACTCTACTAAAAATAAAAGATGTTCCTCAAAAACATTTTTCATTCATAAATCAAACACTAAAAATCATTTCCTGAAAATATTTTCTACTCACCAACCAAACATGAGAAAATAAGTTCAAAATCTACTTGTTTTTTAGGAAAACATTTTCCATGAAAAACATTTTCCTTCATACCAAACACACCCATAGAAGGCACTCATTTTACAACACTCCAATGATTATCCACTCTGACTCACTATGAATTGACGAAGAAGATAAATGAGCAAGGTCTTATCATGTGAGAGTTAAGCACTAGAAAGCGTCAAACTTTTGAAGAAAGGAGATGTTAAGTCTATTAAGTAGTTAGTAAAAGTTATAAGTTAGTTAGCTAAGTTGTTAGAAAGCTAACTCATCTACTCTATATAAATACATCTACTATGTGTTGAAGGATTGAGCAATTCAATAAGAATCAAGACTCATATGAGCTTATAATCTTTTTCTTCTGTCTAATCTTTCTTCCTCCTTTCTTCTTCTTCAAAGTATTATACAATTAATCAATGGTGAACTAATCAAGTTCATGGTCCTCAACTCGGCTATATATATGGGATAAAATGGTTATTAGGCATATAAAAATATGCCTAAGATCACCACCCACACTTATAACTTTGTTCATCCTCGAACACTTTCACACTTATAGACATACTACGACTCTGCTACTACACCTAAAAACCTTTCCACTTCGGCCACAACAAGTACAACAACTAAACGACAACATAACATTATTATGCATTCCTTAGGATTGCTCTCGCAAAACAATCTAACCTCAACAACAAACTCCTCTATACAACAGATTTGTGCACATCCATTGAACCCACTGATATAATACTTTCAGATCTCATCAAACATATGCCCTCACTACAATGAACACCCACATTCACTTCACATTGATAATTTCACAAAAGAACGGGTGCAGAAAATAAGTTACGCTCACACTCTCAAAAGAATTCACTTGCTACAACCAACAAACCATAAGCTTACCCTTAGTGTACTACTCTACAATTTTTGAGGATACGGAAGTTCAAGATCAATTAGGTCTTTTAAGGATTGTAATGCAGACAAGGGGATAGGTAAGAAACATTTTGGGAATGTGAGTAGTGACTGTTTTTCCAAGTGTTTTAGTCTCAACACTACAATTTTGAGTGTTCATCTAATAATCCCATCTTATACTCTTTTCCTCATAACCATTGGTCCCCACCATTTTTATTTTCTTTTAATCCTAGACATCAGTACATGTCTAAAACTTTTCATATATATTCTCTTTCATTTTTCTAAATATTTTTTTGCTTTTTTTTTTAAAAAAAGCACCAGAACTTCTATTGGGGTGAAATGTTCTGCTTCCTTCTTTATTGTTCACACAAAACACTTAGAATCTTTTGGATCAAATTTATAGGCCAAAGAAAGAACGATATAAGATTCACAATAAGCTACCAAAAAAATAAGTTTAAGGCTTGAAGGGGCTAACTACGGATATACATTAGGGTGGGTCGAGGAAAGCATAAACAGGGCTACCAAAAAATTGCCTATATCACTTCTCACATTTCTTATCCTATTATTTT